TAAACCATGTTATGTTGCTCTAAATAGTTTCTACCATGGTTGAAATTCAGATTCTAACTTCTAAGATCAATGCATCTAGGAAAAAGGAGCATATGCTTGTCAAAAGCAAGAGCTTTTCTCACCTGAGCTCAAAGACCCACTTTGAGTACATAGTCTTGTAATCACTCATAAGCTCAGATATCTCTTTGGCGTGCTTCATTTCAATTGCTGTTTCTCTAAGCTCCTGAAAACACAATGTTTCTCCATCAACTTGTCCAGAAAAAGCATTTATCACCAAAAGCATAATTAGGAAGAGAAAAAATATCCAAAAAGGACCTGCTCATCAACAATATGAATATCAGAGAGCTTGTGAGCTGACCGCTTACTCGCCCCACCCAATTCTTTAGCCAAAAAGTAGTTTCTTGAGAAGCCATACTCATCTTCTTCCATGTTCTCAATGTCCTCCATTTTCACCTTAACTGAATTCCTATGTAGGAAAGAGTGTCCTGAGACAAGAGCCATAACAAGATAGGATTACAGAATTTCCCAAGTTCTAAGTAAGAAACTAACAAGAGAACAAATTTCCAGAAACAACATGAAGCAGAATTTCAATTGATCTAGTTAAAGTAATCAATGTATTTGCAGAAACACCATGTTCTCAAGTGATAACATAGGGATAGAAAGTTGACAAAAATCACCACTTTTTACTAAAATTGTTACATGCTATGAAGCTCGTAACAATTGGATCAGACCCAATCACCAAAATCTACACAGAACGAATTACCTTCACCAAATCGGGACACTAAAGATACCGAGTAAGAGGAGAAAATTCGGCCAATCGTTGATTGGATTGTGCTTCTGATAGACTCCGGATTTGGGTTTATCAATAAGAATAGAAAAGAGGTGACAAGTAGAAGAACAGAGTTGAGAACTTGAGAAGAGAAATGGACAAGGAAGAAGAAGAAGAGAAGAAAAGATGTGATTTTTAATTCTTTCTTTTTGATAATCGAAGCTTTAAATACAAAGCCCAATGTGAGACTGCATCTTAATCGCTTAGGGTTTGTTAATTGGGGAAGTGAGATTTCTCAGCTGTTTGTTAGGGATCGTCTGAAATGTTATAATTTGAAGCATTATCATATGGATTGAAGAGTTTCAAAAAGATAGACACACCAAGCAGAGGAAGATACAAGGATTTGCTTGTGTTCGTACAGGACAGCTGGAACGGTACGATAAACAGGTGGACCGATACTATTTTTCTAGGTGCATGCATAAGTAAAGCTAATGTTGGGCTTTAAAATGGCTAAGCCCAATGAAGTTCGTTAACAATTTTGAAGAGGAACAAGATGACAACTGGAACGGACAGTGTTCATCCTGGAAACTTGTTTTTTAAAAAAAGATTTTAGTTTCTGGTGTTGAAAAAAACTAGTCAATATTATTACCCATTCCGAGCAAATTAGTAAGGAAAAAGCTTAATGACATTTCACGATGCTCCACTATATGATTAATCATTGTGCATAATATGCACACCACACTAATGTTTTCACACATAAAAATGCATATCAATGTAGAGTCGCATATACAAATCTTCTTGAAATGAGTTATTGCAGACATATTCACGATTTCATTTATACCATTTTCAGAAATTGTATTTGAAAATGAGTTATTAAAAATTTAGGTAGAGAAAACAAATTCTATTTGAATATTTGATCTCTCTTGGTTTATAAAATTTCATGTTGACTCTTCTGATGTAGTTCCACATGTCTTCTTGGTTTTAAAGATGTGTCAAACGGATCAGAGCTGTTGATTGATAAGGACTTAATCCTAACCTGCTGCCATGTTGTTTTGAATCGTGATGTACTCATGTACCCATTCGTAAATCCAAAGAATCAGAGAGAACAGAGGTAAGCGAGATTTGTTGGATGATGTATAGGTCAATATTTATATATATTGATTTACTCATAATTTTTAATATAGGTCGAAATTACTTGCTATGGTAGAGTGAGTGTGGATGTCGGATTCACACACTCAAGTATTTTTATTAAGTAGGAAAGATTACTCTTGAGGGACAAAAATGAATATGTAAAACTTATAAATTGCTACGAAAATTGCTATAGTATTTCTTTCTTGAGAGGAAGATCCCCTTTACATGGCCATTGGCCTTTATATTTATACATAGAGAAACGACATTAAAATGAGTAATTAAGTACAATTATTCCTTCTTAAATGTGTCCGTTTTGATTCCTTGACTTTAATGCTCAACGTTTGAATTTGAGTTGACTCTGATCTTCGTGGGCCTCGCCTTTTCGGCCCAAGTGTCCTTGAACCGACTTACCCGTATCTTCTACACCGAACTCATGTCACAGTGCAGTCACTTCGGATTCTCGAAGTGGTGACAACCACTTCGACCATTCCTTCGGCTCATGGGTCCAATGGGCTTCATCCTTTATGGGCCATTATCTTGACTACGTGGCAATCTTTGGTTGGTCTCGGACTTTTGGTGCGGGATCCGACACCAACAGTGAGGAAGTTCAACGTAAATTTGGATATTGCAATAGTCAAGGTAGAACTCGAGGAGACTAATACATATCAACCCCTTAAGCTCGGGTGTTCTAGAAATATTCGTCCCGGACATTGGACCCTCGCCTTTGGCTCTCCACTTTGTTTCAATAGAACTGTCAGTGTTGGGATTTTAAGGTTAAATTAATTTAGTTAATTATTGAAGTAATTTGATTATTATTATTCTAAGTTTGATTTTTTTTTTTTTTTTTTGCAAAACAGTTCGATTGTACGCACGAATAAAGAGACTGTTCATAGTGGCAGCAATCTGATTTGCTTCCAAACCGATTGTACCTCAAATTCGGTAACTACATATCAATGTTGGTTTTATTAATAATTAAAAATTTTAATTTATTTATATTTTTATTTTTGTGTTTTAAGGTTCTTCAGAAGAACCAATTGTTAATCTTGCTGGTCAGATTATTGGATTGCAATTTCGTTCATATAGAAAACCTTACTTTGGACAATATATCGCTCAACAAGGATTTGGATTCGCAATTCCGATTGATTGTGTTCATGAATACCTTAATAGGTTTTACGCAAAAATAGGTAAGGTCTCATGTTGATTCTTTTGGATAATTTAGCTAAATGGAAGTAGAATCACAAAGAGAAATAGTTTAATTATCAAAGCCACTAACTGATGCATAATGATTACTTGCAGCTGCCAAGAAAGCTAAACTGGCGCTGTCTACCTTAGGAGGTCGTAGACTTCCTTTGTCTTTCTCTTATTTTGCATGTCTTTGGATATTATTCATTTTAGATTTTACAATCATATTAATTGGTGCATTATTAATAAGTTTCAGGTTCGAGTGTGATGATTTCAAGAAGCTAGAGTCCCAGGGAGATGATATTAAGAAGCTCCCTTCTTCTTAGGGACAATGACATTTTAGGATGTTCCAATATATGATTAATCATTGTTCATAATGTGCACACCACACTAATGTTTTTCACACATAAAATTGCATTAATGTATAGAGTCGCATATACAAATCGGATAACCTAAGTGCTCTTAGCATTTTTTGAAATGAGTTATTGCAGATATATTCACAATTTTATTTATACCATTCTTCATAAATTGTATTTGAAAATCTATACTAGTATTTTTGCAGTCAATTTGAGTCGGGTGGGTAAAATTGTTCTCGGATACTTTGGATACCCGATCCGTTTACAAATTTTGGTCATAAAAAGTTTGTTCGGTTGGGTTATATTTAACCCAACGCATACACTGGATATTCCATATTTAATAATTTAGATATTTAAAAGATTTGATTAAGATTTAGAATTATTATTCTTCTATCATCTTTGTTTGATTTGTTTTTAACTGTTTTGAATCATCATATAATACATAAAGTAAAAAAAAAATCGTTTTTTCTTCTGCATATACTGTGATTCGAAATTTAGATAACGAACATACATTATCCAATTGACGAAAATATGTGTTCAACGTTCTACATCGATTAAAATATTTAGACAATGATTCAGAATCATATCAAAAATAAGATCAACATTAATAAAACAAATGAGTTTTTCTGGCCGGACGGGTTTGGCGGGACGGGTTTTTGAATCAACAATAATAAAAAATTAAAATATCATTATCCGCCGTTTCAATACGGATTAAATCCTTCAATTTTTTTTTAATACCACCAATATTAGACATATTAAATGAATCTCATTTAGAAAAAATTGTATAAAACTAAAAATTGTCCAGTGGTATAATGTTACTTAATAACAATTGTAAACTATAAAATATAAATATCTTATAAAATGATACAATTTGCAAAATTTTATATATAATAAATAATCGTTAAATTTTAAAAATTACTATTTTTAGAAAACAAATCATGGGATGGGTTAAGAAGTCACATGAGAGGTTATATTTCGAAACGATGGTGGACGAGTTTGAATCACTATTTTTATAATTTTAAAATATCATTAACATTCCGCTTTAATATAAATTAAATCTTTGGTTTATTAAAATATAAATGACATAGAGAATGATAACTTTTATATATAATAAATAATCATTAAATTTTATAATAAAAACAAATCACGGGACGGGTTAAGAAATTACGGAACGAGTTATATTTCGGAACGTATTTATATGGCGGACGAATTTGAATCAATATTTCTAAATATCATGAATCAATATTTCTAAATATCATTAACATGCCGCTTTAATACGAGTTAAATCTTCAGTTTATTAACAATTGTCTTGTGAACTCGTGGTATATCGTTACTTAATAACAATTGTAAATTATAATATAAATAAATATTTTATAAAGAGATACATACAAGATGTTTTTATACTAACTTTAAAAATAAATTATCTCGCGGTATATCACGGGTTAAAATCTAGTGAGTTATTAAAAATTTAGGTAGAGAAAACAAATTCTATTTTGTAATTATGAATTTTAAGCATAACAAAATTTAAAAAATGGAAATTTTCAGTGAAGCTGCCGCGAACGTCGCACGTGACAAAAACACGCACAAAACTATCAAAGTTACCACGTTTATTAAGCAAAGACGATTAAGCCAAAAAAAAACGCATCAGTCTCATCAGAATCCGGAACCTGGATCAGATCTATTCGGGTCGGGTCATATCGGATTAGTAGCTGATCGGAAAACCGGCAACATAATGGCGGCGGCGAGACGATTACGGACGCTCCAATCTCAGCCGGAGAACAAGGTCTGTGTCGATTGCTCCCAGAAGAATCCACAATGGGCATCGGTTTCATATGGAATCTTCATGTGCTTGGAGTGCTCCGGTAAGCACCGTGGTTTAGGTGTTCACATCTCCTTCGTCAGATCCGTCACCATGGATTCATGGTCCGAGATCCAGATCAAGAAAATGGACGCCGGAGGCAACGAGCGTCTCAACAAATTTCTGGCTCAGTACGGGATCTCTAAAGAGACCGATATCATCTCCAAGTACAATTCTAACGCCGCGTCTGTGTATCGAGATCGGATCCAAGCTTTAGCTGAGGGAAGACAATGGAGAGATCCGCCGATTGTTAAGGAATCGGTTGGTGGTGGAGGGATGATTAAGAAGCCTCCGTTGTCTCAAGGCGGTGGTAGAGATTCTGGTAATGGTGGATGGGATAGTTGGGATAACGATGATTCGTTCAGATCTACGGATATGAGACGGAATCAATCGGCGAGTGATTTTAGGTCATCGGGAAGTCGTGGTGCTCCGGCGAAGTCGAAATCGTCGGAGGATATATACTCTCGGTCTCAGCTGGAAGCTTCTGCGGCGAATAAGGAGAGTTTCTTTGCGAAGAGGATGGCTGAGAATGAGTCTAAGCCTGAGGGACTTCCTCCTTCACAAGGTGGTAAGTATGTTGGGTTTGGATCTAGTCCTGGTCCAGCTCCGAGAAGCAATCAACAGAGTGGTGGTGGTGATGTTTTCTCTGTTATGTCTGAGGTAAAATTGGATGCTTTTTGAGAGTGATTTGATTAGATGTGACATGAGAGTGACTTCTCTGTTTATCCTGTAAATGATTGTGTTTGTTTTACGTTGTATTTGCGAATAGGGTTTTGGAAGATTGTCTCTTGTTGCTGCATCAGCTGCGAATGTTGTTCAGACTGGAACCATGGAGTTTACTTCCAAGGTACTTCTTTTATCCTTCTGCTTCGATGTTGTTTGTGCTTGATTTGTTTGGATCATAATCAGTAAGCTCACTTCTTGGTAACAATCTGTAGTCTAGTTATATCATATCCGTGTTAAGTTTATATTGAGATCGTGACTCTTAGCTTGGTGCCTGTCTAATTACCGCTATGCCCAATGCTCTGTTTGTTAGGTTATCGCATTTTTGACATTGTCATTTTTGTTTTGTCTTTATGCCTCTGCAAAATCTCTAGTGAGATCCTCTAAAATTCTGAACAGAGCATAATGCAGATGCTCACTATGCATTTCCTTATTTTCAAATACTGAACATTAGAAATTATAGAATCTTGGATTTTGAAGACAAGTGAGATAAGAAACCTTTGTTCATTGCAGGTCAAAGAAGGTGGCTTAGATCATACGGTTAGTGAGACTGTTAATGTTGTTGCGAGTAAGACAACAGAGATAGGACAGAGGACATGGGGGATTATGAAAGGAGTAATGGCAATTGCTTCACAAAAGGTTGAAGAGTTCACTAAAGAAGAAGCATCAACTTGGAATCAACAGAATAAAACCGAGGGCAACGGTTACTACCAGAACTCTGGGATTGGAAACAAAACAGCAAATTCATCTTTTGGAGGGTCACAATCATCATCAAGTGGTCACAACAACAGTTATCGTAACTCGAATTCTTGGGATGACTGGGGAGAAGAGAACAATACCAAAAAGGAACCAGCACCAAAGGTGTCGACTTCTAATGATGACGACGACGGCGGTTGGGCTGGTTGGGATGATAATGATGCTAAAGATGATGATTTCTATTATCAGAGTGCAAGCGATAAGAAATCTGTAGGCCACAATGGAAAATCAGACACTGCTTGGACCGGTGGAGGTTTTCTCTAGCGGTAAGCACCAAATAAAGTAAAACTAATCAAACATGTAAATGTCGATACAATCGCCATAACACTATTCTCAAATCACAGGTATTACAGGATAAATGGTGAAATGAAGTTGTACAATTAAGGAAAAGCAGAGCCTTGTGGTCATCTCGTGCTCTGTCACAAGAGAGAGCAGAGTGGTCATCTCAACCATTAAAGCCATCACAGGTCCTTCTTTTCACATATCAATTGCTTGGCGTTCAATCAAATCGATCGTCATTATTTGTTCTTCTACAATATATAGTTTCATTTATATTTGTACAAGCTTCACAGTCACAGAGGACTGCTTACTAAACTATTCGGGTTAGTCTTCAGCTCTTTTTTTGAGATTCAAACTTTTATTTTTCTTCAAATCTGTAATGACCACAAAAACAAATTTTCCTTTTTATTATCTTTTTTTTCACATACAACCTTTTGTCCGGTTGCTATCGTTTTACCGATTTACATATTCAGAATGAGTCAGTACGTAAAAAAAAAAGAAATTGGGTTAACGTTTTTCTCAGCTTATTTCATACGTAAAATTCTTCAGTGCCTCAGAGGAAAAGAAGAAGATAAACAGAGGTTTTATGTCCGAAAATGGTGGCATTATGTGGAGATGAAACAGTTTGGAAGAAAAATTTTGACGTCTGAGTCACTAAATCTCGATGTAGCAAGCAATGCCTCTTTAGAATGTAAAAAATATAAAAAGTTTGAAACTTAAGGAAGGCTAAGCTTGCTTAACGTATAGGGCATGATGCAACTTGGTTTATGAATTCATGTCATATTAACATTTCATGTTTGTATTTTAATTATAACAAAGAGAAGTTGGTCAATGAAGGATTAGAGAGAGAGAGAGAGAGAGCATGTTTCTCTCACGTTTTACGTTATATCGTACAAACCGGATCAGTTGACACTTCCATTCAATAATCCGACATCCTGAACCGGGCCAGGTAAACTCTTAAGATACACACTTAAAAGACCAAGAGATATGGCAATCCAGCGGATTCAATCGATGGAAAGATAGATTCACAGTTTAAAAGACAAATATCTGTACCAATCTATAATCAATTCTTTTAATCATAAAATCACGAATCATCTAATGTATATGTACCAACTCAAAGTTTCTTCTTTCTTTCTGCAACATATATATCAACATCAAAGCGAAAAGACCTTAGCCATTATCAAGATCATATGAATTCCTCGAAAATTTATTTGGTTTCCATTTGCAATCTGCAATAATTCCATTTCTTTTGTTATTCTCGAATTTCTTTTTTGATGATTTACTTGTCAATCTTTCATTTTTGTATCAATTTTAGCCTGTTTGCCCTTATACATAAACACGATGTGCAGTTTCATAATATGATGTCTTTGCTATGACAATAATACAAGTTCGCTACAAACATATATAATCATGTTTCATTAACATATTATATAATAAATACGTTATGTGAAATTTATAATAAAGAAAATTAGCCAGTCTCAAAATCTGGCACCTACTAACGTAGACGAAACTAGATGAGCGAGTGATGGAGTTAACAAGAATCTAATTTGTGGCGACCCCATGAAGTTAGACAATGATGCAAAGGCATAGAGAAATAAATAATTAATTGTAGTATAAGTCTGGTATTTAAATAAATCTTTTTGAACTTTTAGTAAAATCTAGTGATAAGTTTTCGAATTTTATTCACTATCCCTTTTAAGTTTTCAAGAGTTTTTTTTTTTTAAATTTATTCTACTAATCTAATTTTATTAATTATAAAAGTCTCTTTAAGATTAACACTTTACAATTGGTATAAAATAATCCCTTGTACATTTTAATTATTAGTATGTCTTTAAGAATATAAACTATAAAAGTCTCTAAAAGTTTAACAAATCTATAGTCAACTTTGTTTGATACAAATAATCCCCCTTAAAGTAAAATACAAAATTTAAGATTTCTATGGATGGATCTTTACTATATTAGTAGTAACTTTCTTCTCTAGTCATTCAACAAAAATCTAAACATTAATTATAATTAGCTGTCATATAAAAAACTTAATTAATTGACTACCTGTCAACAGCAAACTCTCTACTCACGCGTGAGCCTATTTAAAGCCACACAGTTTTCTTCTTCGTTCCTTACCATCCATCCAATTGTAAAACTCTCTCTCCCTCTCTATTTCTTCTCCATTCTTGTTCATCTGCAACATTTTTTAGGGTTTATTATTATTGTTGGTTTCTTCATTTTCTTTTATCTAAAATATTTGCAGAGGAAGAGAGAGAGAGAGATAGAGAGATCATGGGACTATATGGAGTGATGACAGGGAAAAAAGGAAAGAGTGGATTTGGATCTGCTTCTACTGCTGAAGATGTTACTCACTCCATTGATGCCAGTCATCTCACTGCCATTATCACAGGTTCTTTCATTTTACCTTTTCTTTCTGATATTTTCTAGCAAATTCATGTAAGAAAAAAAAAGCAAATCTAATATTGCCAAACAAATTTATTTTACGTTTTGTCGTCGTGGAAGACTTTCTGCCAAAAACATAATTGAAAAAAAAATACTAAATAACACTACAAAATTAGTCAAATTTACTTTAAATTCAATGAATGCAAGATAAAATGTTTTAATGGTGGAAGAAAAGTCAAACTTTTAAGATTAAGCTAATGTTGGGATTTTGAGGCAATTAAAGGGGATTTTGTTTTTGTATTTCAAATTGTCAGTCATTCAAACACCAAATATTTTGTTTCTTTTTTGTCATGACCGATTCTTTGTCCATAAACCAAAATATTCTTAGTTCTGTATCTTCTCTCTAACTATTTAAAGACTAAGATAGTAGATCAAAATTAAACACCCATATGAATGTTGTTACCAAAGTTATTTTATTAAAAATGAAAGCTAGTATATTTTATATTTGTCAAATATGTTAAACTAATAAAATGTAACTTTACAAGATATATGACATAAATTTGGTTTGGTAGTAGTTTTAATTGGTACTATAACTTTTTATCTACTTCAATTTTTGTTTGAGCAAAAAAAAGGTGGAACAAGTGGGATTGGATTGGAGGCAGCAAGAGTGTTAGCAATGAGAGGAGCTCATGTCATCATTGCCGCAAGAAACCCAAAAGCTGCTAATGAGTCCAAAGAGATGATTCTTCAGATGAACCCTAATGCTCGCGTAGAGTATATCCAGCTCGATGTCTCGTCCATCAAATCAGTCAGATCCTTCGTTGATCAGTTTCTTGCCCTTAATGTTCCTCTCAACATACTCATGTACGTATGAATATTATTACTTGTTGATTTTTATTTTCTTTTCTTTTGCAGCGATTAGGAGTTAACTAATGTTAACTTGTGTCTTTGAAATGTTAGAAACAATGCAGGTGTTATGTTTTGTCCTTTCAAGCTCAGTGAAGATGGGATTGAATCACAATTCGCAACAAACCACATTGGTAAGATTTTATTAATAGTGTTTCCTTGTCAGTATCGAAACACAATATTCGTTTATCAAAACATCATGTTATGACATGAATTATAAAGAAATCTACTAAAGTCAATATAATAAACCCTTTTTTTATATAACATTACGTGAGTTAATCTATATCAATATTATAATGATCGTCCAGGTCATTTTCTGTTGACGAATCTGCTTCTGGACAAAATGAAGAGTACCGCAAGAGAAAGTGGAGTCCAAGGAAGGATTGTGAATCTGTCATCTATTGCTCATACTTATACTTACCCTGAAGGTATCAAGTTCCAAGGCATCAATGACCCTGATGGGTAAGTTTTATAATTCAATTTAAACTATTGAACTTGATATTAAAGTTTTTAACTAGTGTGTAAAAACTAATTCAATATAATTATTTAGATATTCGGAGAGAAGGGCTTATGGGCAGTCCAAACTCGCAAACTTGTTGCACTCGAATGCACTCTCTCGTAGACTACAGGTAACATATTATTTACACACATACACTTTGATATACTTTAAAGTTCGATACCATAAAATGATGAATATATGTAACTAAATTAATATGATTTTGGGATGTACGTAGGAAGAAGGTGTGAATATCACTATAAATTCGGTGCACCCTGGACTTGTCACCACTAATCTCTTTCGCCACTCCGGTTTTAGCATGAGTACGTATACCAATTCTCTAATCTTCATTCAAAACTTAAAATTTTTAATATTTTCTTTTCTTAAATTACATTTACATGTGTATATTCAGAGGTCTTCAAGGCTATGACTTTCCTCTTGTGGAAAAATATACCTCAGGTGAATTTAATTAAAACCCTTTTTCATTTTTTTTGAAAGAATTTTCTCTTATGAGATTTTAGCTTTTATTTACAAATCTAATTCTTTTGGGGCCATTATCAGGGAGCAGCAACAACATGCTACGTTGCACTTCATCCTGATCTCGAAGGCGTCACCGGAAAGTATTTTGGCGACTGTAACATCGTTACTCCGAGCAAATTTGCTACCAACAATTCTCTCGCCGACAAACTTTGGGATTTCAGTGTCAAACTCATCGATTCTGTCTCTAAATAAATTTATCATCATCAAGATAAATTCTTAGACATTTAAAATTTATCCTTCTTCTTGATATTGTTTCATTAATGCCATATCTTTTTCATAACTACATATTTCTTTATGGAATACCATAATTAGAAATCATTATCCATATTTTTTTCTTGAATAAAATTATAAAACACAAATTTTTGTGTAAGAAAATAACTTTCTTCATCTAGTAATCTATTTATATATCTCCAAATGAAATTAACAAAGTGTATATTATTACAAGGTGAAGATTATAACCAGTGTTCTAAAAAGCGGTCTAGGCGGTCGCCTAGGCCCCGACTAGGCGCTAGGCTCTCATGCGACGCCTAGATAACCGCCTTGACCGCCTAAAATTACATAGATCTTGTTTAATGTATTTTTTCAATTTCAATTAGATTTTTATTTATATATATAGTTATAAATATTCATATATTGTTTAATATAAATATAAATAAATATTTTATCTAATTTTTATTTATAATTTCATAATTTTTAGTTTTATATAGATATTTTATATAACTTTTATATATAATATCATATTGATAATGTTTTATGTTATAAACGTCTAAACCGCCTAAAAAATCGTCTAGGCCCCGATTAGACGTTCTAGGCGCTAGGCACTGGGTCACCGCCCGCTTAGCGCCTAGCGCTTTCTTGAACACTGATTATAACATAACAAGATTTAATGGGCCTAAATTAATGGGCTTCTTCAGCCTCCCAAAGGCCCATAGTTCGGACGACGACGGCGGAAAGAGCCACAACAATTGCTGCAAAAACCGGCGGCACAACGAGGTCCATCTTCGACCTCCGGAAAAGATTCGCCGGTAAACACAACACCTCCGAAGGAAGATCCAACGGCACCAAAACGGCTGCGTAAGAGCCGCACCGCCGAGAGAACTCCACCGAAGAAGAAGATGACGGGAAAATAGCCGACACGAAAGCGAATTCCGGTGCGAGAGAGATGATCGCCACCGTCATCGTCAGAAACAACGTCCACGTTGCGCCGTAGACGAAAATCGGAATCCGCCATGCGAAGCGGTGGGTCAGAGATGAGACTAGATGGCGAATCATTGGTTTAAAGTTTTTAAAAGGTTTCTTCTTTCTCTTTATCGATTTATAGGTCCATCGATCGTAAATAGTTGTGCCATAGAAATTGGAGTAGCTTCTATGAAGAAGAGAAGTAGAAAGAGAAGATAACCTAATCTCTCAACTGCTCTTGGTGACGAACGAGGAAAACTGAAACGACCAAATTTATCGCCGTTTTGATGTCGTCATCCACTTTTTTCTGATATATTGATTCTGATTTTGCATCAAAATCATATACTACTTGAGAGTTGAGAATACAACTTTGCATATATATTGGTAGCTACTAGCTAGACGCAATTTCGTAATTTATCTAGCTAAACTATAGTTTGCGGAGACTAATATTCAGTTTTTTTGGTATATTCCCTAGTGATAGATTATGCACATTTAGGACAAAATTAGTTGTCAGAATTACTAATTAGAGATGAGAGCTACCAAGTTTGTAGTAAGACCTTCATTGGTTCAAACACCACTTTATGCTGGTCGATTGTTTGTGAGGGTAATTTTTGTTTTTTTGAAATGGGTTAATATTTTGAAAAAAGCTAAAACTAAAGATAAATATTTGGATATGAGAAAATTTAGAAATGATTTTAACTATCAAGTAGTGTTGAAAAAAAATCATATTTTCTAGAATCAAACTTTTGTATCTTAACAAGTTTATGAGAAAACTAACGTCTATATAACCTTTAACGCTATGGACATTGTATACGAAAATATTTAAATCAAAGATTTTTAAATTAAAGTAAATTGTTAAAAGATACAAATATCTTATTAATATTTTTCTAAATATTTTTTTTAACAAAAACCTATTAAAATGGTTTATTGGTCTACATGACAACGTTACTTACGCTAGCGACAAAATTTTATAAACGTTTTTTAAATTTCAAATCTTTACATATTTAAAACCAATAAACTCTATTCAATAGTAATCCTTTTATTACTACTTTTTTCTAATGAATATTGTATAGAAATTTAATAGGCAATCTCAAAAAATACAATTGATGTTATATTTTCTATAATACTATCAAAAGAACCCGAAATTCTATAGGCTCCGACACCTTTCCAATTAGAATCCAGAGAATGCTTAAAATAGAATGATGGGTAATGTTTAGGAAATTCTTGAAAATATACGAAATTGTTTTAGATGAATGGTAAACACTACTCAAGATTGAATCGTTCTTTGTTTTTTTTTGAACAAAGATTGGATCGTTTTATTATAAAAGCTGCTAGACAAAAAATAGAAGAACATCTTACTCAAATGGTCCCACATGTACACGTGGATGTTCACCAAGTAATGAAAGAGCAACTGAAATGATTTGTTCTAGTACCTTCCTTCCAAATCAGCAACTGCCACGATTTTCTTTCCTTTTTCTTTTCATTTACATAGCCACCCCAAATGTTTTAACTTATTCTCAAATAATATCCATACTCTTAATTCTCATAATTTTCCCCTCGACACTACAATACAAAACAAGATCCAATTTTGTATGACCGACTTAAAACTGATATTTAATATCATAAAATTATACATATAAATTATCATCACAACAAAGAATAATAATTTAAAATTAATCGAATCAACATTTTTCTTCCAAAAGTAGATTGGATTGCAATTAACTAAAACATAAAAATCAAAATGTAAAATTTTAAACTATAAGGGACAGTTTTGTATTTTCCTTCATTCGGATATTATTTTCTTTCTTTTATCTCCTAATTACTATTTTTCCCTTAAAATTACAAAAACATCTGTTTTTCTGTTTTTTTTTTTTCTTTTTCATATATCTCTCTCTGTCTTTGCTTTGAAAAGTAATCTGGACCGCGAACAAAGCTTTTTCGTTTTCTGGTTCGTTGCCGCCTTGCACGTTCCTTCTTCTTCCTTCTCTCTCCCGTCTTATCTCTTTCCCCCCTTTACCCTAACCCTAATTTTCTTCGCCGTCCTCTATTATCTGTCTATCCAATTTCGTTCCCATATTCAAATCTCTCAGCTTTATCTCCAGATCTTTAGATCCGTAATTCCCTACTATTGATTCTACCCAAGCTTTACTCTTATCTTCCTCGTTTGATTCTTATGATTCCTCGTATGAATTGTTTCTTCGTAAATTCATCGCCTTTGGATTGAATTGGAGTCATAAATCAATCTGTATTCAAGATCTAACTCAAGTTAGTGTTAAGTGTTGTGTCTATTGTATGCAATCGTGTTGTGATATTGAATCTATTTCTGATGGGAGAAGGAACTATTTGTTTGGAGATGCCAATGGAAGAGAATTCATCAATGGGTCAATTCAAAAGAGAGCGACTTGATGAAAGTAATAAAGGTGATCACTTTCCCAATAAGAAACAAGCTAAAGAAGCTTCTAACGATGACATTACATCGGAGATTTCAAATCCCGTCGCATCTCCGGTTGAAAGCACGTCACTTTTTCGTGATGTCTCTAGCCAGCCGGTTAAATCCGGTTTAGGTGAGTGCTCCGGAAGTGATTTTGGTTCCGAAGAGACTGTTAGTGACGATGCATCCGTAGCAGGTAGCTCACAAACAGAGCAGTCGAGTGATGTTTTACCATCTCGTTTTGTGTTGGAGATTCCTAAGCATCTAAGCTCGACTGGGATCACGAAAATCACGTTTAAGTTGAGTAAACCAAAGAAGGAATTTGATGATTTGCCTGTGATAAAGGATCACACTTGTGACGTTGGTGTTGTGAAGATGCCGAAGAAGATTGTTGCTTTGAGCTACCCATCTAATGTGAAGAAGCTATTGGAAACGGGTATACTTGAAGGAGCTCCAGTGAAGTATATTTCAACCCCACCGGTGGTAAAGTCTGAATCTTTGTGTTTCGATATTTTCCTTTAGGGTATTTTGTATGTGACTTATATCACTTTTGATGGCTATCAGAGAGAGCTTCAGGGGATAATCCATTCGGGTGGCTATTTGTGTGGCTGTACAACTTGCAGTTTCTCGAAAGTGAGTGTTTTTTTTTTGCGATGGTTTCTTGTTTCTATGACGATTTGTTCTGTGTATTTTAACGATGTGATCTTTTGTTATGTATAAAGGTTCTAAGTGCGTATGAGTTTGAGCTGCATGCTGGTGCAAAAACTAGACATCCTAATAATCACATATTTTTGGAGAATGGAAGGGCGGTTTATAACATAGTTCAAGAACTGAAGACTGCTCCTCGTGATGTTCTCGAGGAAGTAATAAGGAATGTAGCTGGTTCTGCTCTGAATGAGGAGGGCTTACAAGCTTGGAAAGGTGATGGCCAGGTGTTTAGATTGTTGGTGGATCTATGTTGCTTACCGTAGATTTTCTTTTGCAATCATTTGCTTTTTGATTAGTAGTGCTGAGCTTGATATGTTGTTGTTTCCTGCAGCAAGTTTCCAACAGAGTAATAGCATGTCTGACCGGAACCATATCACGGAACATTCCACTGTCAGGTACTATCACCTCCTACTTCTGGTTTAGTACTTGATCTGTAATTGGGGATTTTATTTGAGATGATACTCAGTGATATACTTGGACCCTGTAGTGACGTACCTTTTCCGTTTCATATAACTTTTGGTTAATGCACTCTAAGTTACCATTTTGTGTTACTATCTGAAACTGATTCCTGTGAAAGCTGCAGTTATCTTGGTTCTGGTACTGGTCCTGGTCTTGATGAGAGTCAGAGCCTTACTCCATGCTCTGTGGAGAACCATTATTTTCCAGAGAAAACATATGCAAAGGACACATTAGATGAGCCGAAGCGGATAGCAAAGAAGTATGCGTCTTTGATATTTTCATATACAAATTCATTACTGTAGTAATCTATATGTTACTTATGGTCCTTATGGACAATGATCTATGGAGCTATGGAAATTTATTTGGTCGCTAATCCTGTAGGCTTACTTCTCATGTATCTGGTACGGGTTGCCATAAGAAAGTTTCTGAAGGAAGCAATAGAAAGAGGTTTGTGTTGTTTTTTTTTGATCAACCTCATCACTTGTGTTTTTCTGTTTGCATTTGAATCTCTAATATTGATGAAAAGATACAATCCTCTGTTTCTAGGGACAATGATTTACATCGGTTGCTGTTTATGCCTAATGGGCTTCCGGACGGGACTGAATTGGCTTACTATGTGAAAACGCAGGTTTGTTATTGCAGACAAATAACTAGTTCTGCTTATTTTTCCTGAAATTTGAATCGAACTTCAGTTTTGTAAACATATTTTCCCCTGCAGAAACTACTACATGGTTACAAGCAAGGAAGTGGTATAGTATGTAGCTGCTGCAGCAGAGAGGTAAATGGTGTATGTAGTGGCTATGTTGATTGTCCACAGACTCAGTTTAAACTTCAGATATAGTTACTTATTTTTACTTTCTTTTTTTCTTTTGTATTTATATATGATAGATTAGTCCTTCACAATTCGAAGCGCATGCTGGAATGGCTGCTAGACGACAACCGTGAGTTATCCAATAATATGTTACTTTTACTTAATGTTGGAATGTGTATCTAAATTTTTGGTATCTTTTGCAGTTATCGCCATATCTTCATCTCTTCTGGATTGTCATTGCATGATATAGCCATGTCACTTGCCAATGGACATGTCATTACAACTGGTGACAGTGATGACATGTGTTCTATTTGTGGGGATGGTGGAGATTTGCTACTTTGTGCTGGATGTCCTCAAGCATTTCATACAGGTAGGTGTGGAATACTGATGGAGTATTGTACTCGAATATATTAAACATGGAATTTCTAGGTTTCAAACTGAAAGTTGCTGAAGTACAGATTTCATAATGGTTTCCTCAATCATTAAGCTCTCGTATTATTCTCTGGTTCTGATCCTTCATTTCTCTTTTCATATGCAGCTTGTTTGAAATTTCAGTCTGTGCCTGAAGGTACTTGGTACTGTTCGAGCTGCAATGATGGACCTATCTCTAGTAAAAAGGCTACTGCTACTGATCCTTCTGGCAACGCTAGGCCTATAGTTATAAGACTGTCAAGAGTCGTGAAAGCACCCGAAAGCGAAATTGGCGGCTGTGTGTTCTGCAGGTTAGTTGCATTTGCATACCTATATTCAAATTTCTCGTATGGATTTTTAATTTTTGTGAAATATATAAATACATGTGCAAGCCACTGCAATAGGCAATTTTGATTACTGTGCATGATATGCTTATTGTGTTTCACTCCCTTTTTATGGTCGGTAGGTCCCATGATTTTAGCATTGGGAAATTTGATGATAGGACTGTTATTCTCTGTGACCAGGTACTCTCATGATTCATAATCTCTTTTATTCATTTCTTCCATATTACCAGTTCAGCCTTTTCTGATAGTCCTCTTCTTCTTTTCTTTTGTAGTGTGAGAAAGAGTACCATGTTGGTTGCCTGAGAGAGAATGGGCTCTGTGATTTGAAAGTAAGTTGTGTAAGGCTGGCTCCTTCTGCATCGTGTTAACAGAACTTTATTTAACTTCTCTCTTGAATGCTGTAGGAAATCCCGCAGGAGAAATGGTTCTGCTGTAGCGACTGCAGCAGGATTCACACGGCAGTTCAGAATTCTGTTTCTTGTGGGCCACAAACTATTCCTACACCTTTGTTAGACATGATATGCAGAAAAGACAGAGAAAAAGGAATATTTACCGATAATGGGGATATAGTCGAATGGAGAATACTTAGTGGAAAAAGTCGATACCCAGAGCATCTGCCTTTGCTCTCACGAGCGGCCGTAATCTTCAGGGTATGTCTTGACTTCAGATGTGTTCCAATTATCGTTTGGTTTTATCACTTGTTAAAGATGTGCTCTCGGGCTATATCTTGGGTCAATTTCTCGCAGTTAACTATGACCTTCTTAAATTATGTATACCAAACTTGCAGCCTAATTATTGCCTGTCTAATCTTCTAGGAGTGTTTTGATCCCATTGTTGCAAAGTCTGGCCGCGATCTCATTCCTGTCATGGTGTATGGGTAAGTTATGACGCGATAAACTATGATACAATAGCAATGTTTTTGTAGTGGTTGATTCGCCGTGTAATTCTTATGATATATTTGCAGGAGAAATATATCTGGCCAGGAGTTTGGAGGAATGTACTGTTTGGTCCTGATTGTAAAGTATGTTCTCTTTTTCTTTATTACTGATTTTTCTCTTATACAACTTCTGTGTCTTTTTTGCTAATTGTTTCATCTTCTCATGATGTTACCTTTAGTTCTCTTGTTGTTTCTGCTGCGCTGCTGAGGATATTTGGTCAGCAAGTTGCTGAACTTCCTATTGTAGCAACTAGCCGAGAGTACCAAGGAAGGGTAAGACTTGTGTACATTTTTCATAATATCTAGGCGTTTTTTCTAACCTATGGATAAAATTAGTTTTATGATGTGAATGGTCACTAGGGCTACTTCCAAGGGCTGTATGCTTGTGTAGAGAATCTTCTTTCTTCTTTAAATGTTGAGAACCTGGTTCTTCCGGCAGCTGAAGAAGCAGAGTCTATATGGACAAAGAAGTTTGGCTTTACAAAGATGTCTGACCAGCAAGTAAGTGAATTGTTCTTTCTTTTGGAATTGTGTTTTGTTAGATTTTTAGTATTCAGACAAGTCGGGGAAAACAAATAGTTTCGATAGATTCATGCATATAGATTTTGATTAAGAAGCAAGATGTGGTAACAAGCAATCATAATGTTGTTTTTTTTGCAGTTGCAGGAGTACCAAAAGGAAGTGCAGCTTACAATATTCAAAGGAACCTCAATGCTGGAGAAGAAAGTACCTAAGACGACAAGTTTATCAGAATCAACAACTCTCATCTCATCTGATCATTAAAAGATTCGTCAAGATTTTGGTGTCCGGATCTTTCCTCTTCTCTGTTTTTTTGTTTTCTGGAAGATGGAGCAGTTTTTTGGTAACTTTTTTGTAATATTTTGTTTCTTTTTTTGAATATAGATAGTAGGTTTACAAAGAAGTCCCAGAACAGTTCCATGTTTTTGTATAGAGACCAAGGAAAAGAATAAACAGATACATAGAAATAGATATAAACAGGTTCTTGGGGGTAGTTATCAACCAGAAAATAATCATCTTCAGTCTTATTGAAAAGTATTATTTTGTTTTCTAAAAAGTTTGTGGAAATGTTAAGATTTGGATGAAGATAACAATCTAAACTTCAATTATGTTTCCCTTGAAATAATCTTATACTAGTTGAATTACATATATCATTTCTTTCATGTTTGTTTACCTGTTGGAAACAGAGGAAACGGCGACGTTTTGTCTGATTAATAAAAGATGTGTTTTTAAGATTTAGGGGGTGTTATTGGTTTATTAATTTGTAAATCCATATAGAATTTGAAAATTTTTATTAATTATGAAATCAAGATATATAGATTTTGAAATAACATGTGTTTACCCATGGATTTGAATCCTTCTATTTTTCTCTTTCAATTCCATTCAATTCCATTTAAAACATAATTTGGATTCTCAAATCCAAAAACAAATGACTAAACGAATAACATATGATTTTAACTAGTATTTATAAATCATAGAACCAATAACACATGAATTTAATTAGGATTTTAAAATCAATGATTGAATAACAAATGATTTTTGTTTGGATTTCTAATTCCATATAAATCCATGAACCAATAACCCCTCCTTAGTTAAAACCCTTTGATAAGCCCTAAGATTGCTCATTTTCGATCTCAAATCCTTTGTCCCACTTGCTACAATGGCGTTCGTTTCCAGCTTTCGCCGTCTCGTTGCTGGATCCAACAGCCTCTTGTCTTCTCCATCCTTCTGTGTTCGCCGCTGCTCAACTCTTACGTCTCCCAGGCTCTTCGTTAGCGGTAATTTCTTTCTTCAACTGTCTTCAATTATTTTTTTCTTTTTTGGAATTTTGCTATAGATGATTTCGATTTGCAAGCTTGGATTTTGTTCATGTTCCCTTATAGATGATAAAGTGTTATGTTTTGTGGACCATTTTGAGAAATGATCCCCTACTTCTTCAGTGTCAGTGATAAGTGTAAATGTGAAGGGTATAAAGAGGAAATGTGGATTAGAATGAGTTTGGTAAAGTGGGAGCCTTTTGGCTTAGGGAAGAGATTATGATCTGTGATCTTACCAATCAGTTTCATCTTGTGTCTAGAAATCAACATGAAGGTTTAGATTTACTTTCCATTTTCCTGATAATTGAATTTAATGGTTAGTGAGGCATTGGGATGCTTGTGGTGAGTGTGCAAATGGTCTTTGTGTTGGTGATACCGTCTTTGTTACTATGGAAAGCATCAAATTGTGGAATTCACAAGGATGTTCTGAGTTGCTTTAGGGATCGTTTTTTGTTTACTTTATTAGACTCATTAAGGCCTGAAGATAAAGAATGTGTAGAGAGGTTCTTTGACCATTTGAAAAAGTGATAGCCTTTTTGGCTTAGGGAGAGATTATAATATATGGTCTTATCAATCAGTTTCATCTTGTGTCTGGAAATCAACATGAGGGTTTAGATTTACTTTCCATTTTTCTGATAATTGAATTTACTGGTTAGTGAAGCATTGGGAGGCTTGTTTGGGATGAGTGTGCTAATCGTCTTTTGTGCTGGTGATTCTGTCTTCGTTACTATGGAAAGCTTCAAATTGTGGAATTCATTAGGATGTTCTGATTTGCTTTTGGGATCGTTTTTTTGTTTGCTTAATTAGACTCTTTAAGGCCTGAAGATAAAGAATGTTTAGAGAGGGTCTTTAACCATTTGATAAAGTGGGAGCCTTTTGGCTTTGGGAGAGATTAGGATCTGTGATCTTATCAATCAGTTTTATCTTGTGTCTGGAATCAACATGAAGGTTTTGATCTACTTGCCAATTTTCTGATAATTGAATTTAGTGGTTAGTGAGGCATTGGGAGGCTTGTGGTTAGTGGGCTAATCATCTTTGTTTTGAACTTTAGAATCCTCTTTTACGGGTTGAAGTTAAAGAATGTTATCCCATTATATGAACTTGTGTATCTTTGAATAGGTCTCTCCAGACTCACAACAAATGAAAAGCTTCAGGATGCATTTGCTTCTTTTGGACAGCTCGTGGATGGTATATGTTACTCTTGGATTCCTTAATCCAACATATGTAGAGCATCAAATCATAGATTTTGTTATGTTGTTACAGCGAGAGTGATCACAGACAGAGAGACTGGGAGATCAAAGGGCTTCGGTTTTGTAACATATGCAACAATAGAAGATGCAGAGAAGGCCAAAGCAGAGATGAATGCAAAGTTCTTGGATGGTTGGGTGATTTTTGTGGATCCTGCAAGACCTAGAGAACCAAGACGGCCTCTGCAAAGGGAGCCGCCTCGGTCTTCCTCTGGATCTGGTTTCACAACCAACAAAACCATCGGCTGGTGTGAATGAACAAAATCCAACCACTTATGTATGAAATGAAAATAAATTCTTGAATCCATTTATCAATTTTGAGGCAAAAGGCAAATCCTTTAGACCTTAACTTATGTTTTCGAGATATCTATCATATGATGCATTAACAGGTTACATAACTGACAAACGACCAACAAATCATTCTCTTTTCGCTTTAAAGTTTGCAAACGCAGATTGGGAATAACAAAAACGCAGCGTTTTAGAGTATTCACAGCCTCTCTCTCTTTCTCTGCCAACGGCGACTTTTCTCTGTCACTGTGACTTTCCTCTAGGGTTTAAGGTTTGATTTTCAGACAAAAGTACAAACAATCAATCTGCAGCTTAAGGTTTGATTTTCAGACAAAAGTACAATCAATTCGGCGATTGGTCTCCGAAGATGCATTCTTGTTTTCAAACTCACTTCGTCTCCTTCAAGCTTCCTCATTTTTTCGCGCCTAAGGTCTCTTCTCTCATTCTTTATCTCTTTTGTGTATGCTTTCTCGCCAATTAAGAAGAAAAGTTTGGAAAAAATTTACAGAGTTTTGTGGCGTCTTCACGGAGAGAATTAAGAGTGTTCGCAGTGGCAACCACCGTGGAGGAGGCGTCTGGTAATATACCAGCGGCTCCGATTTCTCTACCTGAAGGGTCATGGAAACAGGTTTTGAATTGCATATAAAATTAGGAATCTTTTTGAAGAGTTGCTTTCAAAGTTTGAAAATTTGAGAATCTTGTTGTTTTGTTTAGATAGCTGGTGGAGTTACAGCTGCTAAAGGGTTTAAAGCTGCTGGTATGTATGCTGGATTACGAGCTGCAGGGAAGAAACCTGATCTCGCTCTTGTAACCTGTGATGTCGAAGCTGTAGCTGCAGGTCCAATGCTGGCCTTCTGTGGCTCCTTTAATGTTGGTTTTCTTTGTTTCAATTGCTAACAAGCTTTTGACTTTTATCTTGAAAATAATTTTCAGGTGTGTTTACTACTAATGTGGTTGCTGCTGCTCCTGTAGTTTACTGCAAAAAAGTTCTTGAGACTTCGAAAACGGTAATCCTGCATCTCATTAATTGGATTTCGGAGTTAAACCAATGCATTTTGTGCTTCTGAGCTTTGAATTTTTATGTTCTTTAGGCTCGTGCAGTGTTGATCAATGCCGGTCAGGCCAATGCAGCTACGGTAAGATATCTCAGCTGTGTAGTCTGATGCTTTCAATAAGTCAAGCTATGTTGTTTAGGAGTTAATTCATATGATTGTGAAGTAGCCTGAAATCTATAGGGTTGTTAGCTATGCATCACTCATTATTGTTATACGATTAAAGGATTTAGATAATGTATTTTTCAGGGTGATGCCGGTTACCAAGATATGTTAGATTGTGTTGGATCTATTGCGACGGTATGCCTTGGTGTCTTTCATTCCCATGTCTCCCGCAAAACCTCGTATATCTTTCAACATTGTTCACGTTTGTGTCTTTATTGTTGTAGCTACTTAAAGTGAAGCCAGAACAAGTGTTAATTGAGTCAACTGGTGTTATCGGTCAGAGAATAAAAAAGGTATAACTTACTTTCTCATTCTTTTTCGATGCAAGTGCTCCGATGAAGTTATTTACCCGTAAATCTTTGCAGGAAGAGCTTCTCCAAGCACTTCCAACCCTAGTCAACTCGAGATCAGACGCTGTTGAAGAGTATAATCTTCTTCTCTCAATCTCTCTCTGAGTTCGTAGGTCACAGAGTTCACTTTCTTTGGTAGACATTGGACATAACCATATGAATTTGAAATGCAGGGCAGATTCTGCTGCTGTAGCAATCACGACAACAGATCTTGTAAGCAAGAGTGTTGCAGTTGAATCACATGTAGGTTTAAGAAACACGTTGTATACTCTATTTCTAGTATTTCATATATCTTACAAAAATTTTGAAATTGCTCAGGTTGGTGGAATCAAGATTCGAGTTGGTGGTATGGCAAAAGGCTCCGGGATGATCCATCCAAATATGGCAACTATGTTAGGTGTATGTCCTTTTAGCTATTACTTTCTTTTGCTTGTGTAGCTTTATTTAGACATACACATTGATGTTAAACGATGCAAAATCGATATTTATCTTTCTCAGGTCATCACAACAGATGCACTAGTTGAAAGTGATATCTGGAGAAAGATGGTAAAGGTTGCAGTAAACCGAAGTTTCAACCAGATCACTGTAGGTTACACAATTTCAAACATTGTTGTAATTAGATTACTTTTATTTCCAGTCTGATTTATGGTCTTGTAGGTAGATGGAGACACAAGTACTAACGACACAGTCATTGCTTTAGCGAGCGGGCTATCTGGATCACCTTCTATATCATCTTTGAACTGTAACGAAGCTGCACAGCTTCAGGCATGCCTCGATGCGGTATGTATGTTTTTTTGCTATCTTCCTAACAGTTGTTCATGAGCTGGACTTAACATGGAACCCATCTTTTTCAGGTGATGCAAGGACTGGCTAAATCAATAGCTTGGGATGGTGAAGGCGCTACATGTCTCATCGAGGTTCGCAAAATAAAACTGTTTTTTCCCAACCCTCTGATTGAAAACAAATCTTAACTAATAACACAAAATCACCAGGTAACTGTTAAAGGAGCAGAAACTGAAGGAGAAGCAGCGAAAATTGCACGCTCGGTGGCTTCCTCTTCCCTAGTCAAAGTATGAGATCCAAGATATATATACATGAATGATAAAAGGGAGCTTTCTTGTTTCTAAATAATAGTAAACGTCTGTTTGCTGATGTGACAGGCAGCTGTTTATGGGAGAGATCCAAACTGGGGACGCATAGCTGCAGCTGCTGGCTATGCCGGGGTTTCTTTCCAGATGGATAAGCTGAAGATATCGCTCGGCGATTTCTCTCTCATGGAGAGTGGTCAACCTCTTCCGTTTGACAGGTTTATCTTACAACTGATTTGTCTCTCAGTGGGAAAATGAAGTTAGATCATGTTCTTACACATGTAATATACACAGGGATGGAGCCAGTAACTACCTCAAGAAAACTGGCGAGGTTCACGGAACAGTTACAATCGATATATCCGTAGGTAAGAGATTCATTTGGCTAGCCGTATTAAATCAACCATGTTCTGTGAACCTGAGTGCGGATTTGTCCGATGAACAGGTGATGGTGCAGTCATCGGAAAGGCATGGGGATGCGACCTTAGCTATGACTATGTCAAGATCAACGCTGAGTACACCTCATAGGACTGAGACTGAGAGACAGAGTTTCATATACTATTGTTGTGTTATGATCTCAAATTATAAACTGATTTTGCTTCAAATAAGAGAACAAAGTTCCATTGAGTTATTCTCAAAAGTGAAAACTTAATCCAAAAAGAAAAAAGTAACAAACTTCAACAAAGTATTCACAATAGTGTTAAGGATCATCCATTACCCATAAGAAAAGTTACGAAACTCAACAGGAATCACTCACAAAGAGATTTGATTATTTATCACACAAGAGGAGGCCAAGCTCAAAGACGTGCTTGGTTACTAGCAGCCAATACCATTTAAGAAGAAGCTGCAACTATAGGCATCTGAGTTACCCATTCAAATTTGTCCCGACTGTGTTTGCGAGAAGCTTGCTTCTTGTCTTTGCTGCTGCCACCACGTGAGGAAGAGTTGTCTTTGCTCTTCTGTCCTTTCTTTCCAGTCTTCCTGTGGTTGTCTTTGCTCTTGGATTTCTGCTGCTGTTTCTTGCTTCTTGTGACTGTGTGGGAGGCTATCGAGGGAGGAGGATCATACACATCAGCCGCCCATGAAACACTAGACTTCCTCAGTGACAAGCCATGCTTCTCTCGGCTGCCTTTTATGGCTGGGATGAGAACAATTGGTGTTTGCTGCAATTCAAGAAACATATGAGAAACAATCAGTATAGAGCAGGAATACACAGCCTTCACTTGAGAGATATGACAAGGATCTCACTATGAAATCAATCTGACTGACAACACCCCAATTCCGAGGACTCTTAAACTCTTACTAATGTACAAACTATGGAACTCCAGAAACACTAATTTCTTGAATCAAATGTTTTCTCCTTGCTAGGACTATATATGGAGACTCTTGTAGACTTATTCTTTCAAAAAAGATTTGGACTGGTTCAGGAAAACCAACCACACATAGGAAAGCCTAGGCAGAACAACTAACTACTGTGATATCTCAAGCTCCAAAAGATGGTACACAACTTGTACCTTGGCAAATAGACCACAGAAAACAAAATCTAAGAATAAAAATAGATAGAACTTACAGTCGTAAGGTTCTCATCCTTGTCTTCATCATCCAAAGAGTTGGGACTTAAAGTGGATTTGCCGAAATCCTGAACAGCGGTTTCTTCATACGCAGTTGGGTCTATATAACCAGTTTCATCTCCATCAGACTCCTGAGAATCTTCAGATGCAGTAAACGAGGTATGCTTCGAGCCTTTAGAACATTGCGTGGGACTCGAGATGTCAAAGTCTGCATCTTGGAAATCCAACTTACCACAAACAGAGCTCATATCCAAGTAACAGTAGAAGGTAGTCACAGTAATAGTAACTGAACAAACAAATTCAATGTTATCATTAGTAAATGAATGATCTTTAGATCACACAAAAGAAACAAAAGACTAATACTGAAATTGAGGCCTGAAGAAGTCAAAGAGACAAAAGTTTCACCTTTTTGAGCTGCAAATGGAGCACTAGCAGAAGTAAAAACACCAAAGACGGATCAAAGATTGTGTGTCCGAGCTAGGAATATCTCAAGAACCAGAGAGAAGAGAAATAAGAGAGCAGAGAGGAGAAGGAAACGAAATGTTAACTAAGATTACCACGCCAATCACACTTTTCAAGAGGTTTCAAACGATTAGAACTCAAACCAGAATGATACGGAGTCAACGAAGGAATCAAAGAAAGGAGAAGAAGCTTAGAGGGCACCGAAGGCATTCTTATCTTATGCTCTTCGAAACCCTATAACCGTAAAAAAAAAAACCCTAATTCTCGAATTTCGAATCAGAAATCGCAGAGATCTCAGAAAACTTTGATCTAGACGAAATGAGCAAGATATACAAAAAACGAAGCCGCGAGAATCCCTTAGAATCGGATCATGGAAAAAGCAGAGAATCAAGGAGAATTATATCCGCAACGAATCTCACGCTTGAGGAGGAAGCTAATTTGAGAAGAAGAAGAAGAAGAAGAAGAGATTGAAGAAGGAAGAGAAGAATGATTGATGATGATGATGTCGTTTTTTTTTTAAACAAGAAAAATCAACGGCGATAGATGTAGACAAGCTTAATGACTGTACACGTGTCCCTTACCCTTAAGACTTTTCTTTATGGGCCTTGATATTTTCTTTTTGAGTGTAATGGGCTGGAGATATAGATTATGTAATGTAAAGAGAAAAAAGAGCGTTAATTAAGATAGGTTAAGGAAAAAGAATTCACCTTTGGGAAGGAAATAGATTTTGGCTTTCTGAAACTTATCCAGCACGTCATCCGAGAATGGTATCTTCTCAGCATAGGCCCATATTGACATCACACCAGAATAACTGGAAGGCATATGATGATATTTCAACACCTCTCCTTAAAGCTGATAGAAAGGGATCACATTGAAACGAAACATAGTGGTTTGGTATATATACTCTGCTCTTTTCTCAGTTGGTGTTCATGTGATAAAAACACCTCCACACATTAATAAAAAATCCTCGCTATGTTATGATAGAACAAAGGTTTTCTCGACATCTTGCATGCGGTTACAGAAGGAAAACTAATCACTTGAACCCAAAGCTTATTACAAAATTATATTCACTATCTACATGTTTTGAGTCTATTACAAAATTATATCATTAAAAGAGAGACTGTTTAAGTCTAGTCTAACAGTATCAGTACAGTTGCCAGGATCATAATCAGTTTCCCAGCTTCCTAAGCTAGAATAAGAAACACTGTCAAAGTCCATAGGACGTGAACCATCTAATAATGTTGTAGAGTCAAAAATTGCATCTGCAGAACGAAAAAGCTCTGCCTCATCATCATACTGCACCAAGAGAACATTGAAACCTCTAGCTTCCAAAGAGCCAAGAACCCTGAAACACTCGTCTGTAAGTGGGGTTTTTGAGATTACCATCACATTGTTTTGTTTACCATCATCACAGGAAGATGCAAATGTAATCATGTCAAATAACATCCTACGAACTCTTTTGTCTTTATCGCCTGGAAACATATAAAAACACAGATCTTGATTACATACATATATAAAGATTAGAGTGATAAAAAGGTTAATGCAAAGAAATTCACCTATTGATTCGTAGCAGACGTCGAACCATTCAGCTTCTGTTGAGCTCTGTGGTTCTCAGGACCATAACACCAGGTCCTCTCCTCACCAAGGTAACCCATTCTCTCAAGAGCTGATCGGATATTAGAAGAAATCAAATAACCATTGGGATCACTTGGGGTTGGGATTTCCTCGACGAGCCAGATGACGCATGTGTTGCTCGAGTACCAAGGCCCTGAAACAGAGAACTCGCATAAAACGATTACAATCTAATTATTAGATCTCCATTAACCATTAATTCACTATATGACAAGGAAGAGAGATCTTACCGCGGCTGTTCATGGTTTCGACGCGAGAGATTTAGAGACTTTTCTTTCTTTGGGAGAAGAAACAAGATACGAACAGAAGTACCTTTTAGGGTTTGAAGGTTTGGATCTCAAGGTAAATTAAGGGTTTGAAAAAACATATTAAATTTTATTCACCTTCGTAGTGTCCTTGTGTTTTGGGTCTAAAAAAGCCTAGTATATATAGTAAGGATATGGAACCCACAAAATAAGAAATTAAGGGGGTGTTATTGGTTCCTAATTTACATGGAATTTTGATGACTTTAATAAAATCATAGAAAGTAAGCAAATGAAAGATTATAAACTATTGTTGGAGAGTTTTTGAGAGTTTTCTATAATCTTGTTGATTAGTATTTCATAATCTTGTAAAGTTTCCCAAACAATCTCTCTATTTTGATGATACTTTTCATGACTTTGTTTTGTGAAGAAAAATGTAAAAAGTCATAATCCAATAACATAATAATCTAATTCATTAACAATCATAGATTCTTTTGTTGTAATCGGATAACACAAAACTTTTAATGACTTTATAAAAGTATGAATCCAATAACTCCAGATTTATAAAGATTTTAGATTACTTTTTACAAATCTTAAACTAATAACACCAAACTTTAACAAACTTTTAAAAAATCTTGATTGAATAACAACAGATTCTACATAACATTTAAAGTCACTAAAACTCTATTTAAATCACAAACCAATAACACCTCCTAAGTCTAATATCTTACCGTAAAACAAAAAGAAAACAATATTTCTCCACGACAACTGGCACTTTTCAATGATATTTAAAGACCATCCAACTAAGTGTAGTGTAGAACCCTTGTCCTCGTGGCTACTAAACATTAAACATAAACATGAGTTTAGATTTTGGGACTTCGAAAATCAGAAGGTCGACCAAATCAACACCATCACACTTAATTGTTTTAGTGGGCACATCTGACAAAGAACATGATTATTCAGAGTCTCAATAGAAGCACGCAGGTTATTGTGTATGATTTTGCCGTATGCGAGCCAATGGATATACAAACGAGGATTTAGTGTTTTTAAGACACTATTAATAGTCTCTTAGCTTTAAGATGACATATCATCGGTTTGGTCGACCTCTTGATTTCGAAACCCCAAAATTAAAACATCGGTTTACGTTTACTGTTTAGCTAAACCGCGAAAACAAGGATTTTACACTTGACAACAATTCTCTTGAAAAACATGGAGAGAAAACTTACGAGAAATCTTGTTTGATGTTCATCTTTGACTCTTGTTTCGATAGTGTGAGAATATTTGTGAGAGATGATGAATGATCTAGAATGAGTTTGTTTATATAGAGAAATAATGAGATTTTTTTATAATTAAATTAACAAAAACGAAACCATAGAATTGTATTCTTGACCCTAGAAAAGAAAAAGGTAGAGAAAAACATTGGCCTTTTGAAATTAGTGGAGAATCTCGTCCTCTCTTCCCGGTTACGATGAAAACGTTTGGAGGCAAATCAATGAGAATAAGATTCCCTTGTACGCTCTATGGGCCAAGTCAATAAGTGCCCAAATACGCTCTATGGAACAAATTGTACATGGAGCTAAATTGAACCCAAAGCAGACTTTACCAGAACAAAGATGAAACCTCAAAATGTTTACAAAAACATATCATTCAAACGTAAGACTGCTTAAATCTAGGTTCCCAGGATCAGAAGAGTTGTCAGGATCAGTATCAGTTTCCCAGCTAGTGCTGCTAGTACAAGAAACACTGTCAAAGTCCATAGGAATAGAAACCACAGGAATTGAACCATCTAATGTTCTTGTACAATCAAATATTGAGTCTGCAGAACGATAAAGCTCTGCCTCATCATCAGACTGTACCAAGAAAACCTTGAAACCTCTAGTTTCCAAAGCGCGAAGAACCCTGAGACACTCGTCTTTAAGGGGAGTTTTAGAGATCACCATCAAATTTGCAGCTTGGTTTCCACGAGAACAAGATGCAAAGGTCATAAGGCAAAAGAACATTGTATCAACCCGAGTGTTTTTATTACCTTCGAAATAGTAGTAGATACGAGGATCGCACCATTCAGCTTCTGTGGAGCTCGGCTTCTCAGGAGCATAAACCCTGATCACCCCCAAATTAAGAATACCCAATTTCTCAAGAGCTAACTTGATATTACGAGAAATCGAATGATTGGGACCACTAGAGGTTGGGATTTCCTCGGCGAGCCAGAAGACGGCTGTGTCGTACTCTTCACGAAAAAGAAAACGCATAAACCATTACCAATAGAATTAGATCTCATGCTGAGAATTCATTCACTATGACAAGGAACAGAGATCTTACCGCCGTAGTTCATGGTTTCGACGCGTGAGATTTAGAGACTTTTGTTTTTCTTTGAGAGAAGAAGAAACAAGATACTAAAAAGGTAAATTAGGTTTTTAAGCTTGGATCTCAAGGTAATTTACGGGTTACATCTGTGCAATAAAAATCTTATTTATATTTTTGACTTTTTCTCTTTGGGAGAAGAGACTAAATAGTAAATAAGAACAAAAGTAAATAAATAAAAAATAAAGTAAATTAAGGGTTAGATCTGTGCAATTGTTTTTTTTTTGTTTTGACTGTTGAATCAAAAAAACAAAAATTATCTTCAAAAAGCAAAATAGTGCAATTAATTGATCACAAAAGCAACAAACAACAACAAGATCGTCACAAATAGTGTTAAGGATCATCCATTAACTATAAGGAAAGTTGCACAAACTCAAACTCAATACAGAATTTTTTTGTTCAATTAATACACAAGAGGATGCCAAGCTTGTAGATGTGCTTGGTTATTAGAAGAAGCCAATGCCATTCAAGAAGATGCTGCAACTAACGGCATCTGAGTTACCCATTCAAATTTTTCGCGGCTGTGTTTGCGAGAAGCTTGCTTCTTGTCTTTGCTGCTGCCACCACGTGAGGAAGAGTTGTCTTTGCTCTTCTGTCCTTTCTTTCCGGTCTTCCTGTGATTGTCTTTGCTCTTTGATTTCTGTAGTTGTTTCTTGCTTCTTGTGTGGGAGGCTATCGAGGGAGGAGGATCATACACATCAGCCGCCCATGAAACACTCAACTTCCTCAGTGACAAGCCATGCTTCTCTCGACTGCCTTTTATGGCTGGGATGAGAACAACTGGTGTCTGTTGCAACTCAAGAAAGAGATGAGAAACAATCAGCATAGAGTAGGGGATACATAGTCTTGACTTGAGAGATATTACAAGAATTTCACTAGGAGATCAATCTGATAGATAACAGCCCATTTGCGAGGGCTTTTAAACTCTTACTAATGTACAAACTACGGAACTCCAGAAACACTAATTTCTTGAATCAAATGTTTTCTCCTTGCTTGCACTATATAACGAGACTCTTGTAGACTTATTCTTTCAAAAGCTTCAGGACTAATTCAGAAAAACCAACCACACATAGGAAAATATCAATGACCCACGAGAGCCTTATATATTATTATGATTTTGACTCATAACTACTGTGATCTAAAGATTTAGACTGGTTCAGGAAAACCAACCACACATACGAAAGCCTAGGCAGAACAACTAACTACTTTGATCTTTCAACTCCAAAAGACGGTACACAACCATGGAAAATAGATGGTAACAAAGTATTAGGAGAAACATAGGCTGACTTACAGTCGTAAGATTCTCATCCTTGTCTTCATCATCTGAAGAGTTAGGACTTAAAGTGGATTTGCCGAAATCCTGATCAGCGGTATCTTCATTCGCAGTTGGGTCTGTATAACCAGTTTCATCTCCATCAGACTCCTGAGAATCTTCAGAGCCAGTAAACGAGGTATTCTTCGAGCCTTTAGAACATTGCGTGGCACTCGAAGTGGAGATGTCAAAGTCTGCATCTTTGAAATCCAACTTACCACAAACAGAGCTCATATCCTACTAACAGCAGAAGGTAGTCACACTAGTTGTAACTGCACAAACAAATCCAAAGTAAATGAATGGTCACACAACGGAAAACAGAGAGTCATGCTTAAATTCCATTCACTCTACTTGCATGATACATAAGCCCATGAATTTGAACCTAATCTATTCTAAGTGATTAGAACATGAAACAAAATCCCCAAATTAAACAAAACTTAAAGCCTGCAGAAGTCAAAGAGACAAAATTTCTCACCTTTTTGGGTTGCAAATCGAGCAGCACCAAAAGTAAAAACACCAAAGATGGATCAACGATTGTGTGTCCGAGCTCGGAAAATCTCAAGAACCAGATGAGGACGAGAGAATAGAGGGTAAAAAGATGAGAAGAGAGAAGAAGGAATCGAAATGTTAACTAAGATTACCACGCCAATCACACTTTTCAAGAGGTTTCAAACGATTAGTACTCAATCCAGAATGATAAGGAGTCAACGAAGGAATCAAAGAGAGGAGAAGAAGCTTTGAGGGCACCGAAGGCATTCTTATCTTATGCTCTTCGAAACCCTATAACCGTAAAAAACCCCTAATTCTCGAATTTCGAATTTCGAATCCCAGAAATCGCAGAGATCTCAGAGAACTTTGATCCAGAAAGAAAACAACCACTACAGAGCCAGATATATAAAAAACGAAACCGCGAAAACCCTTATAATCGGATCATGGAAAGAACCAGATAATTTAAGGAGAAGAACTATATCCACAACGAATCTCACGCGTGAGGAGGAAGATAGAAAAAGCTAATTGAGAAAGAAGAAGACGAACAAGGAAGAGAGAGAAATGATTGATGTCGTTTTTAAACACGAAATATCAACGGTGATAAATGTGGCGGCCTACCTTTAGATAGATTTATGACTGTACACGTGTCCCTTATCTTTTTAGAATTTTCTTTATGGGCCTTGATAATTGTCATTTGGGTCTAATGAGGCTGAAATAATAAACTGCTATTTAAGGAAATATATTACACCAAACAATCTACCTAATTATTAGGCCGGTCTTAACAATAGCGTATCATGATTCAACGGCCTGTTGGTATAGATGACGACTAGTATTATGCCCCTGCTATGCAGAGAAAATATATGCCAATTTACATCATATATCTAAATATTTTTACTTTAATATTTGAAGAAAGTAAATTGATGAAAGTGCGAAGTTGTGTTAGGGATTGTGGATTACGAAGAAAATCAGATCCTATATTGTTTTTTCCAATTTAGATTTAAAACAAAAAAATTATTTTAAAAAAATGTATGGTTTTTTTATTTTTTTTATTGTTGGTTTCGTCAATTAAAGTAGGGGAGAGTTTGGAAAATGAGAAAATTTTGAGATCGTGGAAAGAAATAGTGGTTGCTAAGATAGTGGTAAGATTTTGTTTTTTTTTGTTAATTTTTCTCAAAAATAATAGAATTGGATTACGACAGTAAGAGCAAAATTTGGGAGTTTTGCCACGGGTCAGATAGAGAATGTTGCAGTTTTTATTAAAGTGACTGTTGATTTAGTATAAATAGATAAATAGATATAACAAAATTTGTCTTGTAAATCCAATCCATTACTTAGAGAAATAGCGTTTAGTTTGTTTTGTCGATGTCACACACAAACGCAACTGAAACGCAATTCTTCACTTTCCAATAGTATTGGAACAACTGATGGGTTCAAATTTAGTTTTTAATTACTTGATGGTGAAATTTGCAAATTATTCAGTTTTCAGGCTCTAACAAATCGAATTCAACCATCAATTTCGAACCATTAGACTGATCATCAAACCACACGAAACCTAAAATATCTAACAAATCGAGATTCTAAACCAAATAATTAAACCGGAAATTTACACACACAAAGAAAAACCCTAACTGGTGAATTTGGTAACCGCCTTTGTGCCTTCAGAAACCGCATGCTTAGCGAGTTCTCCAGGCAACACAAGTCTCACAGCAGTTTGAATCTCCCTCGATGTAATCGTCGGCTTCTTATTGTATCTAGCGAGCTTTGACGATTCCTGAGCAAGTTTCTCGAAGATATCATTGATGAAACTGTTCATGATTCCCATAGCTTTCCCAGAGATTCCAACATCTGGATGAACTTGTTTCAGAACCTTGAAGATGTAGATCTTGTAAGTCTCGACGCTCTTCTTCTATTTCTTCTTCTTCTTCTCGACTGCTCCGGCTTCTTTGCTGATTTTCTTCTCCGCCTTTGGGAGTTTCTCCGCCGGAGCTTTTCCGACTGGTTTTTTTTCTGCCGGTTTCTTCTCCGCTGCTTTCGGCGCCATTAGAGATTTGATGGAAATTGAGTGATTCGAGAGTGTGTGAGAATATTTGAGAGACGCGTTGTTGATGATTGATTGAGATTTGGTTAACCGGATACAGATAAATCTGCAGGATTAAAACAGCTATTGGACGAGGAGGATACGTGAAAGATGTATATGTAAGAGGAATGACAATGAATACGATGAAATATGTGTTTTGGATGACCGGAAGTTACGGTTCTCATCCTGACGAGCATTATGATCCGAAAGCGTTACCGGTGATTCAGAACATTAATTATCAAGACATGGTCGCCGAGAATGTGACAATGCCTGCTCAGTTGGCTGGAATATCGGGAGATCAGTTTACTGGAATCTGTATCTCTAACGTGACGATCACTCTTTCGAAGAAACCTAAGAAAGTGCTTTGGAATTGTACGGATGTTTCGGGTTATACAAGTGGTGTAACTCCGCAGCCGTGTCAGCTGTTGCCGGAGAAGCAGCCGGGGACAATTGTGCCGTGTAATTTCCCGGAAGATCCGATTCCTATTGATGAAGTGAAGCTTCAACGTTGCTACTCCAGAAGAAGGAATATGTGAAAATGTAAACCATTTCTTTTTTTTTCTTACAAATACTTTTAATTTCTTGGGTTATAAGTAAACGTGTTATCGAATGGGACAGATTTGATTGAATAATAGACAAAGCTTCAAGGGAATAAGAGAAGAAAATAATCGTCAGACACACATATATTTACATATCGGTCTTATATTATTTGATTATTTGAGGGGAAACAAAACAGAGGCTTAACTTGATAACCAAGGAACCAAAGAACAAGTGCTTTTTGAGTGTCATGTCTGCAGCTGATTCCATCTCAAAGTGTGTGTTTCTGCAACATTTGTATCAACTGTCAAGCATATTGGTTATTTAATGTGATAGGCATACCAGACCATTGTTCAGATTGCGGTTGTAATCACGTTTACATTTATGTGGTTCAGGCAAAAACAGAGCACATGCAGAGACAATCAGTACCTTGATGAATTGGTAAAGTTGCATTTTTTTTTTGTCTATTGAGGTCAATCCGAATTCCGAAGACTAACATCGATTGACTGAAAGATTGGAGAAGCAGCTACAATGCTACCACTAGCAGAAGTTACTGAAGAGTTTCGGTCATCGTCATCATAAGATATAGTCTAAGATCAGTTGAGAAAGATTCTCTTTAGGCACTTGTTCTCGAACACTAATGTTGTTATCGTAGCTTTGGGCCTTGGGCTCTGTTTCTGACCCAATACCCGGAAACATGAATCATTGAAATTTCGTTTCAATTCCAGTATTGACAGAAAAAAACGAAAAGACCGTTATGCCCCCAAAACAAAGAAATAATCGTTTATAAATAAAAGGGTTCGTCCTCTGAAATCCCTAAATTCTGAAAAATTGCCTCTCTTCTCAACCTCTCCATGGATCATTGGGACCTGTACTCTGCCGTGAAATTCCCCGGTATTGGTGACACGGACATGAAAACCCCCGTATTCTCGGTAATCATCCTCTCCATATGGCTCTTTGTTTCTGTATTAGTGGTTTCTTTACCGATTGTGAGAAAAACATCTGATTAGATCTTTTCTACTTTTAGGGGATAACACTTTTCGGTGATAATATTGAGTTAATGAAATCCTACATGAAACCACGACGATGGTAAGATTCTTATGCTTTTCTTTCGAAATTTATAATGTATTCATGTAAAGATGCATGCGTTAATAATATTTGTTTCATGCAGCTGGGTTATTGTCGTTGCGGGATACGACCCATCGCTTCCTGCAGATGAAATCAAGAAGGCGTTGACCGATCATTTCCGTTCATGTGGAGCAATCCTTAACGTTGAAATGCCCAGACACCCCGTGGAAAGGTTCGTTTGTTAGCTTCTTTCTTTTGCGACAGACAACGTTATAGGCTGAAATACACACTGATCTAGTGTTCCTCAACGTTGTCTGTTATTATAAACAATTCTGTTATTATCGTGGGAGATGACGCAAATGAGAAGGCGTTGGAACTTAATGGAAGTGAAATGGGTGGACGGAAGCTTGTTGTTACTGCTAGGCCTTTTCCTATGCTGGTAAGAAAGGATGTTCCTTTTGCTTAATAAGATGACGGAGGAGTAGAAGAAAGCTCGCGACGCGAAGTGGTGTTTTCAGATCGTGATACAATGCAACCTTAACCTTTTACAAAAAAAATTTAAACTCATTGACGGAAGAACAGAGAGTAGTTGAGAACTTTAACACCATGAGGTCCATGACTTTAATTTGGTGGTTTATAAGTAAACTTGTTATGAAATGGGATAGATTTTATTGAATAACCGATAAAGCTTCAATGGAAAAAGAGAAGAAAGTAATCGTCAGATACATATTTATATATATATAAATATATATATTTTACATATCCGTCCATATTAGGGATAACAAAATATAAGCTTAACTTGATACCCAAGTAAGCAAAGAAGAAGTGTTTTATGAGGTCCTGTCTTCAACTTAATCCATCTCAAAACATGTGTGTTCTGCCAAAATTGTGTCATCTATCAATTTCAATTCTGATGACACCTGAAGGACTGAAAGCAAACTCCTGCAGAGTATTAATAGCAAACGATTGTCATGAGAAGCCACAGAAGTTGCTTGAGATGGAGAAAAGAAAATTAAGTTTTGGGGGGGGAAACCTTTTCAAGGAATTTGAATGAGCCAGAACTTTGAAATCGGACCAGATTTTCAGTAGAACTAAAGTTGAGGAACACTAGATCAGTGTGCCCTTTCAGCCTCAGAGAAACGAGACCCTTCGGAATCTTTGTGAATCCTTCAAGGTCTGTAGTTTCAAGGTTTAGAGCTTGTAAGAAGGAAGTATGGGAGTAGAATAAGTCATCATCAAGGGAATCGACTACTGTTGTTGCTGCTTCTGTCTCCTGTCGATGCATTAGAGACGTCTCCCTAAATGCAAATAGTTTCTTGACATTGGTCACGACATCACTGACGAACACTTCATCATTGCTGCAAAAAGAAATCCCAATAGTGAGATTTGTTTATATACAGATATGTGATTGTTTGTAATTGGGTATCTGTGTTTCACGAGGATCGATGACGTGGCTTACATAAACGAACAGTTGAGATTATTTAGGATCTCTACCACCTGATGCTTCGCTCCTTTTCTTGGGTTGGACCTGAAAGTTATAGCCCAAGGCCCATAATTAGTGAGGCTAACAATAATCGTTTGCAGTTCTAAGAAATAAACGACGCTGTTTTACACTAACGATCGGCTTTTCATATATGTTTAAGATTTTTATTTTATTTTATTTGATGTTTTCATTTTATTTTATTGAGTTTATATTTCTAAAATCCAAAATTTTGAAGATAAGTTTTTGAATTGATCAATTTTAAAGTTTATAATCTGTCTAAATTTTAGGGTGTTTCTGATCAGTTCGAAAGATAGAACCAATTTTGTATATAATTGGTAAATGTAAAGAGTGAAGTACAAATATGTGAGGAAATTTTTGGAGATTTTGTGTTGTTCGTTCCGGAATTTTGGGACTGGTTTTGGCAAGCAAAATATGATCGCCTTCTCTTGTTGTTTCATGAGTTTTAGGTGAGTAATTTAAAGACCGGTGATATATATATATATTTGGAACACCATTCCGGTGATATTAAAATGTGTATTTAAGGTCTCAAAAGCTCAATAAGACCTTTCAGTGTTCCACTCCTAGGCCAAGCCTAAAAATTCTTAAAGGTTCATTATGATAATACCTCTCACTAGCTCTTTATCAAAATGAGCCTTGAGTGTTCCACTCCGACGAATGGGAGTGGAACATTGAAGGCTCATTATGATTAGAGGAAGAATAGGGTTTTTGTTCACTGCCAAAGCCTTGCATCACAGTCATAGCTTTGCCAATGAGCAAAACTCTCTGCCAAAGCCTTTTTTCTTGTGTTGACAATATTGTTTTCATCAAGTTACAGATCATTGAGATTGATGGGAAGTGAATTAAGCAGCAGATTTGGGTTAGGAGTGGTTTCGTACAATCACAACATGCTTTATTCTCTGAGAATCTACCCCCTTAATTTTGCTTGTGTATGAAGTCACAGATGAATCATCTTTTAAAACTTACTATTATCTTTACTCTTTCCCTCAGATTTTCAGGCCTTGTGTAACAAAACCTTTGCAACAGATCTAATTTTGCTCTTACTTCTGTTAGTTAATTAGCCAATATTATATCTACTTATAAGTATAAATTACAAATTCATTATTTTCTGTGTTTTCTTCTCTTTTTTTCACTCTGAGAGTAGACATCAGGAATCGGATCTGTAAGTAACATTGAGCAGCACGCTTCTAACAATGTCAACAAGATTCTTCTAGTGGGGAACAAGGCAGATTTGATTAAGAATCAAAAGAGTATCTCTACCTTCTCCATCCATGTGTAGTAGTATTCTCCAGCTTATTTTTCACGTGAGTTTTCAGACGTCACTTCATTTTTCATTTGCAAATGAATATGGAATCAAATTTTGTTGTGACTATATATATTACTAGATCATGACCCGCACATACGTGCGGGGTTTCATATTTTTTTAAAAAGTTCTAACAAATTTTAATTCAATATAGATTATTTCGTTGTTTCTATGATATATATTTTAGTGTATTAGATCTGGATTCACACGTACGTGCAGAGATATTTTTATAGAAATTGTTATATAGATTTTAAAAATATAAAATATTTTGTTGTGTTAGTGAACTTTATAATAGTATAAATATTATAAAATTAGAGTAATGAACGAAATTCAGTTGCGTTAGTGCATACTTATATTTTAAGATCCGGACCTACACGTACGTGCGAAATTATATTTAAGATAAAACTAAGATATAATTTAGTTGCAAAAGTTAAATGATGTTACTTTTTTATTTTCTAAACTAATCAAAACATTTCTAATAGTTTGATTACATGTGTTAAATAGGATATAGATTCGGTTTGAGTTTGGTTATTTCATGTATATTAGCTAGGGGTATCTATTTT